ACGGCAAACCTCCTGCGTGACCCAGATTATGCCTCGGCAATGGATCCCTCGGCTTTCAGGTTTGGGACTTCGTTCCCTTTCTGGCTCCGTTACGAGGTTCCAGAGTCTTCCTGGCTGGCGGACTGTCATGTCTTTTCCTTAGAGTTTTGGCACTCTTTCTGCCCGATCCCGCGTGCTTGAGTGGTGTGAGGCTTTGACGGTCCCATGATTTGTGGGCACTTCGGGTCGTTTCACACGACCTTCGGTGGCGTTGAGTGCCCCCCCCCCCCCTGCCCGTTCGAGGCTGGCGGGGCCTCTTCCCCTGTGCGCTGTCAGGTCGTCTTGGGGTGGGTTCACTTGGGGTGTGGTCGAAATGCCGACGTCCCTCAGATGGGTTTTTTGTCTGTTCCTGGTCCCGAAACGGGACTGCGCGGACCTGCGGTTCATTCTGGGCTTGTCTCATCTGAACCCCTGGGTTCATTACTCCTCCTTTCGGATGACTACGCTGTCCCAGGTTCGGCTCCTGTTGGAGCCGGGTACTTGGATGGTGTCCCTGGATCTCCGGGACGCTTATTGGCACATCCCGATTCATCCGGGGTTCGGGGACTTGCTCGGGTTTTGTTGTGGGGCTTCATGCTTACCGCTTTCGTTGTCTTCCGTTCGGGTTGAACCTGGCACCTCGTGTGTTCATACACCTTACACGGGTCGTGGTGGCCCGTCTGCATCTGTTAGGTGTTGGCCTACCTCAACGACTGACTGGTTTGGGCTCCCAGCTGGTCCTCTTGTCTGCTGGCCAAGGATATGGTTCTTTCTCAGCTCACCGGGTTCGGGTTCTTGATGAACTGGAGGAAGTCCCATCTGGTTCCCTCCCAAGTTCGGACCTGGCTGGACCTTGTGTGGGACTCTCGGACAGCTTCCTTATCTCTTCCTCCAGAGTCTCTCCTGTGGCTGTTTCTGCGGGTCTCCCGGGTCACCCGACAGTTGCTCGAGGGTCTGTGCGGGAGCCTGAACTTCGCGATGCTGGTCTACCCGCTGGGTCGTGTTTGGCTTCGTCGGCTGTTCTGGTTCTTTCAAGGCCGTCCATTTCGCCTCTTGCAATCGCTGGGTTTGGACCCTGGAGGCTTTGCATCTGTTTCTGTGTCACCGCTTTCCTCTTCGGGTTTTTCGGGGTTCAGTGCCTTGGCGCCTACCCGAGCCCTTGCTCGATGTGTTCACGGACGCGTATTCGGCTGGGGCTTCGTGACCAGTGCTCACCAGGCCGGCCAGGGTCGGTGGGGTCCGTCCTTCTGTAGGGTCCACAGCACTGTGCGGGAGTTCGCGGCGGTGTGGTTTGCTCTACGGAGGCTTCGAATCGCCTGCAGGTCAACGATCCGGCTTCATTCGGACTGCTCCCCAGTGGTTCATTGTCTGAACCGGGGGGGGGGGAGGGTTCGATACGGTCCTTGGCTCTTTGGCGCTAGTCGCTTCTGGTTACTCGTCTGCTGAGTTCTTGAGGTTTGGCTCTCCTGGCAGTTCACATGCGTGGAGTGTCCAACGTCTTGGCCGACGGCTTTTCTCGTTTCGTTCCCCTCTCCACGAATTGGTCGGTCGACGCCGACTCCTTCCTTTGGCTTTGCCAGACGTTCAGATGCCTCGAGGTGGACCTCGTCGCATCGGCTTGGTCGCGGCGCCTTCCCCAGTATGTGGGCGCCCTTCCCCGACTGCAAGGCCATTGGGGTCAATGCCTTCCGGCAGGACTGGTCGAGGTGGGGGTTCCTTTACCTCTTTTTCCCGGTTCCGCTGTTGCTCCACATCCTGACTCGATTGGAGACTTACCAGGGGAGAGTTGTCCACTTGGCCCCATGGTGGCTGGCCCAGCCGTGGTTTCAGGCGCTGCTTGCTCGGTGTCCGAACCTGGAGATTTTCTCGCGGCTCCGCCTCTTCCAGCAGATCAGACCGGTATGTCATGTGAATGGTTCGATCTTCTCCACAAGTCTTCGCGTGTGGTATTTTTGACTTGAGTTTATCATCATCTCTCTGGTGATCAGGTGGCTTCCTTATTAGTGTCCCATCTGTGGGCTTCGTCTCGCCGAAAGTATGGAGTTTCCTGGCAGTCCTTCCGGTTCTTCTTACGTCTTCGTCGTTGTACCTCGCTTACTGTTAGGGTAGTGTTGTCCTTTCTCTCTTGGCTGTTCCAGGACCGTCACCTTATGCCTAACACTGTCGGAGCCGCTTCAGCTTGCTTTCGGTATTGATGTCACGTCTGCACCATTTCGCAAGCTGCTTCATTTTGCAAGCATTGTTTTACCTCTGGCCTGCTCATGTGCTGCCTGAGCTGTCCTGGTCTTTAGACAGAGTGCTCTCTTTTCTTTCTTCTCCTCGTTTTATTGTGGCCCCTTCAGTTCCGGATTGTTTTTCGAAGGCTCTTTTTCCTGTTGGAATTTCATTACATTCAACGAAAGTTTTACAGAAAATGGCATTTCATTACATTCAACGCAGGTTTTATTTCTCTTGCCTGGTGGGGGGGTGTCTGACTGGAGTGGCTATAGTTCAGCTTCCAATACTTTGGTGGCCCTCTGCTAGGCTCCCGTGATTGTACATGTCGCAGGGGTTTCAGTGTTTTGATCTTCCCCTTGTTACCTTTGGGTCTTAACCAGTTAGCAACACCTTGGCTGGGCTTCCTGTAGGAGTCAACCTACAGGCCCTGGAAAACCCTGTCAGGGCTCGGTGGACCTATGGATGCGTCTTCAGAGTACCAGCCCGCCTCGTGCAGTTTCGAAGGTTGCTGTGTGCCCTTGTCTCAGGGTGACAGTCACCTCTTTTGCCTCTGTCATGCTGCCTGTTGAGTCAACGACACCTTTGACTCGGAGTCCTGCGAGTCGTGTTCTCTGTTCTTCAGTATTATTCTGATGACATTATTGTTAGGGATCAGGCAGTATTCACATTGCATGCTAGGTTCAGGTTGCTGCAATGCACTAGGTTGGTTTCCCACCCGGATGCCCCGAGGCTGCCCCACTTTGGTTCGAGGGACCCGGACTTGGGTGCATTAGTCACTTCGATTTTGGTTCAGTCTGTGCTCCCTAGTCCTTCCCCTGTTGTTCTTTCTCCTCCCCTCCTCCCACCCTTCCACCTGCTTCCGGGCTCCCACATATCTGAGGGTTTCAGAGCCAGGGCAGGATTTAGTTGGTACTGAGACTCGGGCAGCTTCGGGGACTGCCCCATTCGGGTTGGGGCTGGAGGCATTCGAGCTGGTTCCTCCTACCGAGGCTTCTGGGTCCCACCAGCAGGCCCCCCTCCTTCGTTTTAGCCTTTTCCCTCGACTTTGCCTTTTCTTTAGGGGTAGAGGGTTTAGAGGACTGTGGGCTGAGAGTGGGGCGTGGGTGTCGGCTGTGAGAGAGAACTATCACAAGAAAGAAAAATAAACCCAAGCAGGGAGATGGAAGAAATAGAACAAACGTTGAAGCGATCATATGAGTCTGAGGAAATGGAATTGGAACATAAAGCTATACAAGAGATAAAGAAAAATCCAAAATATTTTTTGACATTCGCAAAATCAAAATCAAAAACCTCGACCAGTATTGGACCGTTAATTACAAATGAAGGTACGTACACAGAGGACAGCAAAGAGATTAGTGAAATTCTAAGAAGCCAGTATGAGGCTATGTTTAGTACACCAATAAGCAACATGAAAGTTGATGACCCAGACAGCTTCTTTATGAATGACATTCAAGCTGCAGATAATATAACGGATATTTACACGAACTCGGAAGACTTTGAAAGAGAAATTGACAATATGCCCATGCACTCAGCTCCTGGGCCTGACTCATGGAATTCAATATTCATAAAGAAATGTAATGTACCAATAGCGCGAGCACTCAGCGTAATATGGAGAAAGAGCCTGGATACAGGGGAAATACCAGCAGCACTTCAATCTGCAGATATAGCTCCTCTTCACAAGCGGGGGAGTAAAGCCTTGGCAAAAAATTATAGACCAGTTGCACTAACATCACACATAATAAAAGTGTTTGAAAGAGTGATTAGGAATCAAATTTCTAGTTTTATGGAAAATAATGAGCTACAAAATCCAGGACAACATGGATTTAGAGCGGGCAGATCCTGTCTGTCGCAGTTACTCAACCACTATGACAAAATCACAGAAGCTCTAGAAGAAAAGCAAAATGCAGATGTTGTATACACAGACTTTGCAAAGGCGTTCGACAAATGTGACCATTGGGTGATAGCTCACAAAATGAGGTCAGTGGGAATAACTAGTAAAGTAGGACGCTGGATACTCAATTTCCTGTCGGATAGAACACAAAGAGTAACAGTCAATCAAATAAAATTGAGTAGAAGCGCAGTTAAAAGCTCTGTACCTCAAGGTATAGTCCTTGCACCACTACTGTTCCTTATTCTCACATCAGATATAGACAAACCGAACACTGCTACCATTAGCAATAGAACCGAGGTTGGAGCATCTGGCATAATCAGCTGTGGTTTGCTTTGTTTAGTTGACTTTCTGGGTGCCTTCCTCTGTGGTATTCGACATAATAGATTCATAGAAATTTGCTCATAAGTGCCACTGCTTCCTGTGCCTCATGTGGGGGCCAGGTTCTGTCTCATGGTTCCTGGTAGGCCAAATAGAACTCTGCAAAAAATGGCACCTAGTAGTTTGGCACTATATCCGCATAGTAGCTTTGGGGATCCACATGGGGCTCCCCCCTAAAAAGGTGTCATATATTCAGAGTTTTATTTTTCCCATGCTGATGCCTCCCACCTACAAAAGTTGAAGTGGGATAATAGTATCTTGAGATACACAGTACTGTATCTGTTTTACATGGGGAAATTTTAAATTTATGTACTGTATAGTACAGTAAAATTTTGTTTACAAATTTTCTTTGAGCTGTATTTAAATAGGTTTCTATGTGAAATATCTTGTATTTCATATTGTCAATAAGTTTTTATAATGGTTAATTAGAATTGATTATTAAGGATTTAAGTAGAAAATAACTAAGAAACCTAAAATATTTCTTTGTTCATTTCAGATAAAGAAAGAACCAGCAGCAAATATTCCTACAAAGTGTACTATTGAAATTCCAAGTCAGTCTGGTGCAACTGCAGAAATTAAAAGGAAAAGACAGTCAAAA